TTCTGGAATGTACCTGCTCGGAGTCCCTTCTGTGCACTGGAGGGAAAACACCCTTCAAGCATCTCCCAAGTGATTAGTGGAATAGCAGCCTGAGTTTTCCATCTTGGTGGTTGTCCATGTTGGTAAGAGAGTTCAGCAACTCTAATTGCCTTTCTATTTCCATGAAAAAAAAAAAACAGCACAAAAGGAAGACTGTGTTGACAGGAATTTAATGGAGCTAGAACTCAAGAGCTAAAGATGGTATCAGGTGTGCTTCGCAGGAGCAGATCTGAAGAAGATGCCCTGGAGAGATGGACAGTGATGTCTTCCCTTGACTCTGAATTCGAAACAGAGACATCATGGCCCTTAATCATTTCCAAATTATGCAGTCGTGAAATGAAATGAAGACCTTTCTGCCTCAGGTCATCAGCGCTGCTAATCGCATAGTTCAAAAATCAAAACCCTGGAAAAGAAAAGCTTCCCGCTGGAAAAGTCCTTTTTGTGAGAAAGCCGCGTCCATCGCGCCTGTGCGTCGTTTTGAGTCAGCAGGAAGGGGGAGAGGGTTTCTGTTTTGGTCCTTACTGGCATTGTTCATATGAGGGGGCTTCTAAGAGCCCATGGGGAAATCCCATTGCCTTTCCATCCCATTTGTCCACAAACATTTTGAAGCACCCTGATAGGGTTGGCACAAAAAGTCTGATTCCTATCTTGCTCTTAGCAGTCAGTGCATAACCCCTGCACCCACCGCCAGCACCCCTTCTCAACTCCTGTTTTTTAAGTATCATGGCTTCAAATGTGTTTGTTAAACCCCTTTTATTGCCTTAGCAAAAGAAGAATTCCGCCATACATACAGACACCCCAAAAGAAAAATAAGCATAAGATACGGGAAATAGCTACTATGGGTAACAATGAAATACGGGACAAAAAATTGCTGACAACTGCTTTGGGTTCTGAATGACAGACGACAGATTCTGAGGGCAACGAGTACATCATCCACCTACTGCCGCGAAGTTGATTCCCACTCGAGTTGCTGAGCCTTTACGTCTTTACCAGACAGACTCATCTTTCTTCTACAGAGTGGCTGGTGGCTTTGAACCACAAGCCTGGGACTTGCAACCCAATGCCTACCCCACAGCACCACCAGGGCTCAATGAAGGTATTATGGGTAAGAAGGGAATTAAAAAAAAAAGGAGGAAAGATATGCCCATTGACATAAGAGCAGCATGTTCACAGACAGGAGCCAGCCGGGTTTACTTATTTCCTTCCCTGTCACTGTCTTGTTCCCTCGGGACAAGAGCTAGACCTTACTTCATTAGCTTAAGAGCCGTGTTTTTACTTACATTTAATCAGACAGAATAATCTTTTGGCTGTCTTGACCACTATAAAATTAGGTTTGATTCATGATCAAGTTTGAAGTCAAAACATATTTGCATCATCTGGAACTTC